GATAATTGTTTTTTACCCTTTTATCTGGCAACAAAACTGACACCTTTTTTACAACGAGTCATGTTTGCATAGACCACAATACCTGCTGTCGTAATGCAAACAAAAAACATAACTCTGATAATGTATGGACAGTCCATACATTATCAGAGTTATGTTTTTAAGTTTTTTTTGTTTGCATTACGACTGCAGGTATTGTGGTCTATGCAAACATGACTCCTTGTAAAAAAGGTGTCAGTTTTGTTGCCAGATAAAAGGGTAAAAAACCAATTACCATATTAATGTGTCGTTAAACCCGCCACCGCCCGACGCAGCCGAAGGTTTGTCACGCGAAAAAAAACGTGCCAATTCGTTTCTAGTTCGGCACTAGCGGCTTGTGTGTTGCAGAGTAAACCCACCACAACATTTACTCGGAAGGATTTCTCCACAACTGTGGCTGTCGTCGGATGAGGACGGTTGTAACTACCGACGAAACTTCACGTTACTCGAATGTTAAATGTCGCGGGTGTACTCTCCAACACACAACCGGCGTGCTGAATCAGTAACGAATTGGCACGTTCTGTTTACGTGACAAACCTTACCAATTGGCTGTCGGGTGGTGGCGGGTTTCACGACGCATATATATCGACGGATGCCGTGACGACGCTGGCACACTGGAACCGCGATACGAACAACAATTCTCGCGTCGTGTTACGATTTTGCGCGAATCGCCGCACACGCGTGTTTGCGCGATAACGTGAGCGTAACGCCAGCGGGCGCGGATGAGCGGGAGTACAAGATTTATCACGAAGCCGACGGTTTTTCAACGGAGGTCAAAAACAAGTGACGGACCGGACGTTGGAGAATTGATTCTTGAATCGGGACCCAGAATCAAAAAATATAAATAGTTGTCGTTTTATAATCACGAGATGTTTGTGCCGGTGGCTCTTCTTTCACAGCACACTGCCCAATGAAAGAAGAAGGACCACTGACAAAACGTCTTCCATTATATACTCATTCCTTTCGGGCAGCGTTTGCCGACGAACCTGTCGCGTTTAAAACGATCGAACCGTGCGATTCATCTCTTGGGCCGCGTCTTCCTTCAATCACAGAATCAACATTTTTTTAAATCATTCATCCTGGAGAAATCCGCTGAAGCTACGATTCGTTTATTTATTCGTACAGATGTCCAGCCGCCCCCGTCGTGCGTGCGGAGGCAGGGGTCGCGGGTCGCGGGTCGTGCGTCGCAGGTACCGTGTCCCAACTCGGTCTGAGCGTAGGTGCCCCGCACTTTGCACTCGAGGGCGCTGGGAATCCACTCGCTCTGCTGCTCGTCCGTGCCCTGGCTTCTCAGCGTGGGCAGGAACATGACGAAGTGAAGCCCAAAGACATCCACCTTGCCGCGCAGGCACCCTCTACGGACACAGCGGCACCGCACGGCACGATGATGGTGGTGGTGCTGGTGGTGGTGCTGGCGGCGGCAGAGACCCTGGCGCTACTCGTGACGGTGACGGCGGCGGTGGGCACGTCAGAGGACCGTCACGATCGTTTGAATGAAGCCGAGAGGTGGTGGCTTATGCACGTGGCCTCTGATCCGGCACGGTTTGAAGGATCGTAGTGCACATGTTGTAAAAACTCTTTCCCCAAGGCGCCGTACTATGACTCGCTAGAAGGTAGTACAGCAAGTGGGATGATCATCGCATTGTTTCCGTCTGTACGGGGAGAGAGCGTCACCCTCTCGCGGCGGCGGCAGAGACCCTGGCGCTACTCGTGACGGTGACGGCGGCGGTGGGCACGTCAGAGGACCGTCACGATCGTTTGATTGAAACCGGGCGGTGGTGGCTTATGCACGTGGCCTCTGATCCGGCACGGCTGGAGGTGGGGAGGGGTTGGTGGATTGTAGTGCACATGTTGTAAAAACTCTTTCCCCAAAGCGCTGTACTCTGGCTCGCTAGAAGGTAGTACAGCAAGTGGGATGATCATCGCATTGTTTCCGTCGTCTGTATGGGGAGAGAGCGTTACCCTCTCGCGGCGGCAGAGACCCTGGCGCTACTCGCGATGATAACGACGGCGGTGGGCACGTCAGAGGACCGTCACGGTCGTTTGAATGGCTAGGAGATGTTAACTATCTCGCCTGGTGTGCAGGAGGTTGTGGGTTCGATCCCGACCCCTGACGCCTGCTGCTGTATATTTGGAGTTCGCGTGTCTCTCTCATGATCATCATGGTGGCGAGGAGATGTTAACTACCTCGCCTGGTGTGCAGGAGGTCGTGGGTTCGATCCCGACCCCTGACGCCTGCTGCTGTATATTTGGAGTTCGCGTGTCTCTCTCATCATCACCACGATGGCTAGGAGATGTTAACTACCTCGCCTGGTGTGCAGGAGGTCGTGGGTTCGATCCCGACCCCTGACGCCTGCTGCTGTATATTTGGAGTTCGCGTGTCTCTCTCATGATCATCATGGTGGCGAGGAGATGTTAACTACCTCGCCTGGTGTGCAGGAGGTCGTGGGTTCGATCCCGACCCCTGACGCCTGCTGCTGTATATTTGGAGTTCGCGTGTCTCTCTCATCATCACCACGATGGCTAGGAGATGTTAACTACCTCGCCTGGTGTGCAGGAGGTCGTGGGTTCGATCCCGACCCTGACGACTGCTGCTGTATATTTGGAGTTCGCGTGTCTCTCTCATCATCACCACGATGGCTAGGAGATGTTAACTACCTCGCCTGGTGTGCAGGAGGTCGTGGGTTCGATCCCGACCCTGACGCCTGCTGCTGCATATTTGGAGTTTGCGTGTCTCTCTCTCTCTCATCGTCATCACGGTGGCTAGGAGATGTTAACTACCTCGCCTGGTGTGCAGGAGGTCGTGAGTTCGATCCCGACCCTGACGCCTGCTGCTGCATATTTGGAGTTTGCGTGTCTCTCTCTCTCTCGCTCCCCGTGGTCGCGTGGATTTTTCTCCGGGTACTCCGGTTCCCCCCCCCCCCCACATTTAGAATCAACGCCACGAGTTTAAGAGAATTCGGCTGCTAGACATTTGCACGCGATAAGCCACTTCGTTGAGCTATCATTTGTGTTGGCCAGATCGCTTCTGAAAAATAGCTACATAGCTCAGTGGGAATTACCAGGTGAAATAAAAAAAATAGTTTAATTTAGAATCGTGGATAATCAAAAATATTTTTTTGCGGATCTCTATGCCAAAAACCACCAATATAGGCGTAAAAATGATGTTTAAGTAAAAAAAAAATTAGTTTGTGAATGAACAAAACTACAATTTGTAGAAAAGAATTGACCGATCGATGCGCGTGCTCAGGGGTAACACTTTCCTGCTTCCTCGCAGCAGAAGACTCGGCCCACGAGGTGGATAGCAGAGCCACGCCAATCAACAACATCAATCAAACTCAGCCCCACTGTGGTAAAGATATGTAACTATTTCGATTTAAAGCTTTCGTGACTGCAGGGATTGCAGGGATTCATCTTCTCATTGTGGCCGAAACGTCGTGAGAATTATTTTATTATGTTTTATTTTTATTATTTTATTATTTTCCTTCTACGTGACTTTACCGAAAGAACCAAGAAGATGATATGTAACTACTGTACTGTCGGGGCGATCAAGTGGACTTTGCATTCACCGGAGCACACATTTGCTTGGTGTAAGCTGCCTAACTTGTACGAAACATTTTCAAGAATAACAACGCATAGCTGTTTTCAGATTAATAATTTGGGCTTTTAAGGGAAAATTCACGCGCCGTTAATTTACGTCAAAATCTCAGGTGCGCGGATAACCGAGGGTCTCCTGTCGTTGAGTTTATCTGCTGCAGGGCCGCCAGCTGACGAAAACCTGCCGCTCCGTACAGAAAAACGGTGGACACCTTCTTGGTTCTTTCGGTAAAGTCACGTGACTTTACCGAAAGAACCAAGAAGAATCCCTGCAGTCACGAAAGCTTTAAATCGAAACGGTCGGCACGTTTATTTGACAGACAGAGGCAGGCAGGCAGGCGGGTGGCGGGGGGAGGGAAGTCTCCAGCCTGGGAGGCAAAGGCACGGATCTCTGCGGGGGAGGAAACCGCTTCCACACCATGGGGGACAGAGTCAGGAGAAGAAAGGGCGACCCGGGGGATTAGATGAAAACCCTCGACCGCTGGAGCAGAGAGAGAGAGAGAGCGAGAGAGCAGGCGAGCGTGGAAGTTCGCAGCGATCTCGAGCGGGCGGGGACGGCGGGGGGCACGTGAGTGTGGACGGCGAAGGGTCAACTGCGTAATCGGCACGGCACCTTGGAGACGCTCGGATGGATGCGCAAATGCTGAAGACGATTTCCCGACGGGCTAGAAAAGTTAAAATTGAGTTTGTTCGTAGAAAAATGAATATTTTATACGACCTCGGTAGAGCGCGCGTGGCTTCGTCTAGACGTCCGGACACAGGTTTGCCAAGTTAGTTACTCGAGGTAGCTATGCAGCTTTAGGATTTGCTTGGGCAACACGCGCAGAACTCCACTGATAAGTGATCGTCGCCTTGAGGCGAATCGTCTTGCCAACTCCTTCGAGATGAGGAGCCATCGCCCAGAGGTCGCAAACGGGTTTTGATTCCTTACCCGTACCCGGCCGCACCAGGGTCACAAATGGGTACCCAGCCGGGTACGGGTACCCGTTCCCTAACCGTACCCTACCCGAAATGAGTGACAAACGGTTACTCACCAGTGACTCACGGCGTACCCGTACCCGTACCCGGCAGCACCAGGGTCGCAAACGGTTGCCCGTACCCGGCTGGGTACGGGTAGCCGGGTATCGGGTAGGGTACGGGTATCGGGTACCCGGTTGCGACCTCTGCCATAGCCCCAGGTGTACGCTGAGCATCAGGTTAGGAAGTGGTGTTCGACATGGAGCACTCCAGAGCTCAGAGACGCCCATGGAGCACGCCAAAGCCGAGACGCGTTGGCCGATCGTTCGTTCGGCCAGTGTCGTTTGAAGCGTGTGCGTGCGTGCGTGCGCGTTATCGAGCAAAGGCCCGCCCCAAGCCAGTTACGGTACCATGTCCCAGCTCGGTCTGCGCATAGGTGCCCAGGATTTTGTAGCTGAGCGCGGGCGGCAGCCACCGCTTCCGCTGGGCGGGCGAGGTGTTCGTGTCGAGGACGGGCTGGAACATGAGGAAGTGCACCCCCAGAGGGTCTCCCCTGTAGCCCAGGGCTGCCCTGCACACAGCGTATATCGCCCGGCCGCCACCCGCTCGTCCGTGAGGCTCCACACACTGCCACGTGTGCGTGCGCGCGTGTCTACGTGCGTGCGTGTCTGGGTGCGTGTCTGGGTGTGTGTGTGTCTGGGTGTGTGCGTGTCTGGGTGCGTGCGTGTCTGCGTGCGTGTCTGCGCGCGTGTCTACGTGCGTGTCTGGGTGCGTGCGTGTCTGCGTGCGTCTCTGCGTGCGTGTCTGCGTGCGTGTCTGCGTGCGTATCTGCGTGCGTCTCTGCGTGCGTCTCTGCATGCGTGTCTGCGTGCGTGCGTGTCTGCGTGCGTGTCTGCGCGCGTTTCTACGTGCGTGTCTGGGTGCGTGCGTGTCTGCGTGCGTCTCTGCGTGCGTGTCTGCGTGCGTGTCTGCGCGCGTGTCTGCGTGCGTGTCTGGGTGCGTGCGTGTCTGCGTGCGTCTCTGCGTGCGTGTCTGCGTGCGTGTCTGCGTGCGTGTCTGCGTGCGTATCTGCGTGCGTCTCTGCGTGCGTGTCTGCATGCGTGTCTGCGTGCGTGCGTGTCTGCGTGCGTGTCTGCGCGCGTTTCTACGTGCGTGTCTGGGTGCGTGCGTGTCTGCGTGCGTCTCTGCGTGCGTGTCTGCGTGCGTGTCTGCGTGCGTGTCTGCGTGCGTGTCTGCGTGCGTGCGTGTCTGCGTGCGTGCGTGTCTGCGTGCGTGCGTGCGTCTCTGCATGCGTGTCTGCTTGCGTGTCTGCGTGCGTATCTGCGTGCGTGCGTGTCTGCGTGCGTCTGCGTGCGTGCGGAAGCGGCAGTGTAGCCGTCGGCGCGTCGCGCTACGAACCTGGTGACCCCCGAGTTCGATTCCCGTTCACGGCCAGCACCGGTAACGATTGTCTTAATCGGTCATGGGCCTCCCCTAGGTCGACTCAGCCTCAAATGATAACCTGGTGCGGTGTGTAAACATCGCCACTGGGGAGATAAAGGCGGTTGGGTGAGGTGCTGGCCACCCACCCCCTTGCGTGCCGTGCAGGTCTTCGTAGGTGCCACTCGCTAACAGCACTTGCCCCGACAGTTTGTTAAGCCTATATGGGGAATCTTTGTCTTTGTTTGTGCCAACAGCCACGTGGGACGTCCCATCATCGCGAGGGGAGCGCCAACGTCAAAAAATGGGATGCGACAGGCGCATCCCATTTTTTGTGGGATGCGCTTGTCGCGTTGCGGGTAGCGCCTGCCCGACTATGAGAAGCAACTTTTGCGTTTGTGAGCTAAAAAATAATCGCTTGCTTTGGCCAGTGCTGGTGGGAGGGTCTCCCCTCGCAGATTATCTTGGAAAACCTCGAAGAAGTAGCCACACTCTATGCCAAAACACGTGACCCGCAGCTTGACTTAACTGCGGCGGACACATTTATACTGCTGGCTGGATGGAGGCGGTGGCATTTAAGAAGCTTGCACAATTGCATTGTGGGTAGCATGTGCTGCACCGTGCGAAGCGCCCATTGCATTGAGGGAGCACCACCAGCGTCATCGGAAACGCCAGGTTGCATTGTGGGTAATGCCTGCTGCGTTATCGAAGCGGCTGTCACACTGTGGGATGACTCTGCTGCGTTACGGGAAGCAGGCACTGCACGTCGTGCCCAGCAACGCATGCGGTGCAGTGGGGAACGCGAGTGGGGAGAGTGCGGTGGGAGCGAGGAGGAATGTGGAGGAGCGTCATGGCAGTGGCATCGGGCAGCTACGATGATCGTCACCGCATCGTGCGCTTTCACATACCGCTTCCGACCAATCCGCTGCTGGATGAAGGCCTCTCTGATCCAGCGCCGTCTTGCACCATCTCGCGATGCAGCAGTCCACCTTTTCATTCTCGCAGCAGATTTTCGCTGGCCGTCGAGCAGAGGCGGTCAACTGCGTCGCGCGCTTTCCGATGCGCTTCTCTGGCCGTCTGGAACGCTCTTCCCTCCGAAATTAGGAAGCCACTGGAGCTAGGCATTTTCAATTCACCTCGCTTGAACACTCATTTCTTTAGAACTGCTTTTTTTTGTGTTTATCGTTGTTGTCCTTCCCCCGCACCTCCGATTGGCGCGGTCGGCTACGTACGGTGCGAAAGAAGTTCAACGTACACACGGCTAGAGCAAGGAGAGACGCAGTGGTGACATGGGCGGGGGCGGGGGGGGGGGAGCAATGCGAGAGCGAGGTGGGAACGTGATGAACCAGGCGAGATGGCGTGCAGTGTGGAAGCAACGTGGAATGCACGACGGATTACGCTCGCTTACAGTCACTCGCAGTTACCGCCGACAGCTGCTCGTTGAGAATGGGGCGGTGGAGGTCAGGTGGAGGTCAGCTGGAGGTCAGGTGGAGGTCAGGTGGAGGTCAGGTGGAGGTCAGGTGAAGGCTCGGCAGGTGTGTGCGAGCAGGCGGCGCGGTGAATGGCGGCGGTTACCTCTTGTACCAGTAGATCTCCTCGGGGTCGGTGATGCCGTGCTGCTGCATGCGGCGCACCATGAGGGCGCTCTTCCGCACCGCCACGTCGTAGCGCTCGCTCCGCGACAGGAAGTTCAGGTCGTCGTGACGCATCTCGGGGTCGTTCACCGCCAGGCCCTCTGCAACGTTTCCGCGGCAAAAAAGTTAGTCACAAACGCGATCGCGTCACGACTACGTACGGCTGCTGCGGCGTCAACGACGAGTACGGCTGGTACAGGTGCAAAAGCAACGGGATCACCTGGTGGCAGCAGCAGCTGAAACAATGGGGCAAGTGCAGTAAAATGTCGCCCCCCCACCCCACTACCAAACCCACACTCTTAGGTTTTTTCGGTAAAGTCAAGTAGAGTTTTTAACAGACAATTTTTTACCTTCTTTGGTTCTTTCGGTAAAGTCACGTATAAAGATAAAATAATAAATGTATCTTTATACGTGACTTTACCGAAAGAACCAAATGGGGAGATGAGTCAGGGGCGTGGTCCCGGGAGCTGACGAGGGAGCCTAGAATATTCCATGGAGGCTAACGAGGATTGGCTGGAGCGTACCACGTGACCCGAGTATTAAATAGGGGTGGAGACGAACGACACGTGATCAGAACGGGAACGAACAGAGGAGGGGGGCCATGTGGGAGCGGGGCTCCGGGTTGCCACGTGGTCCAGGCTGCCACGTGGTCCAGGCTGCCACGTGGTCCAGGCTGCCACGTGGTCCAGGCTGCCACGTGGCAGTGCGTCTCTCTCTGTCAATCTGTCCCTCTCACGATGCCGCCTATCAGCAGCGTGAAGTAACTGTAACATGAGTTGAATAAAAGACGGATTTCCAGAAGTCGTCTCAACGAGTTTTATTACACATACATCGGGACTTGGTATGTAAAAAGGGAGGCAAAAATCGATCAGAGGGGTCCTCTGATCGATTGAAAGACAAAACCCAGCAGGTAATTGATTATAGATTAGAAGTTTTCGTGACTGCAAGGATCCATACTCTGTTTTTTTTTCGGTAAAGTGACGTAGGTAGAAAATAAAATAAAAATGAAAATTTAGTTGTTTTCATTTTTCTTTTCCTTTCACCGACGTCACTTTACCGAAAAAACCAAAGAGTAAGGTAATCTTCTTGGTTCTTTCGGTAAAGTCACGTAGAATGGAAATAATAAAATAATAATAAAACATAATGAAATAATTCTCACGACATTTCGGCCACACAACGCAAGCAGCCGTCCTCAGGTGAAGAACAGGTCTGTCAGAAAGACAGCGTCTGAATGAGCACCACAAGGCTTGGAGCGTATATTTAAGCTGGGTTGGAGGGGCGAAGAGCGCCTTGACAAAGGAATTTGCATATCAGCAGATGAATTTAGCATATTTATGGGAAATGCAGATATGGGATTAGTCACTACTTGTGGAATGCGTAGGAGGTGGGCGGGGGGTTTCAAAGTCATATTTTTCGATTTAAAGCTTTCGTGACTGCAGGGATTCATCTTCTTGGTTCTTTCGGTAAAGTCACGTAGAAGGGAAGTAATAAAATAATGAAAATAAAACATAATAAAATACAATTCTCACGACGTTTCGGCCACACAACGCAAGCAGCCGTCCTCAGGTGAAGAACAGGTCTGTCAGAAAGACAGCGTCTGAATAAGGTAATCGATGATTATTCCTTCTCGGTCAAGGTCAGCTCTTGTAAGATGACCGGAGGTTGTTTTTGCAACCTGCCTGGTCCCAAGGGGCAAAGGGCACGTGGGCGCAACGACCGAGGATGAACCCCCGTGCTCAACGCTGATAAGGCCGAAGCAATCTGTGCTTTCATCGCTCAAGAGTTGGCATTTGCCCGTTATGCAAAAGGTACAAGGTCGCCGGCTCTTCGACACAAGTTTGGGAAGCGGTTAAAAGTTAACGCATATTTCAACTCAACGTACGGTTCAAATGCCGTGCATTCAGGCGCAAGCGAGTTACGTGTCGGTTACTTTCTTGCAAAATGAATGTCATCCGAACTGCACCAGCGATTCGTCAAAGTTTTCGAGATTTAGAATTAACTGGCGAATGCCGGGGCCTCTGGTGGCGGGGCTGGTCACGTGCATCCATCGTGTGCGACGAACATGAATTGGGAAATAAGTATAACCAGTAAAAACAAAGTTTTTCACTATAAATCCTTTATATGCGTGGCGGCTAGAGTCCTCTCGTCCTCTGGCTTGAGATGGCTGCCACCTATGGGTCAGATGATTGCATTGCACCATTAAGCAATTGGTAATTAAATATAATATTTTTGTCCTAAAAAGTGTAACATTTTGGAAAAAAATTTTCACGAACATTAATTGTCACGCACAACGAGTCTGTGTGGAAAATGTCAGCTCGATTGGATCAGGGGAAGTGGGTTAAAAAACGACCGAAAGATTTGCACGGTCGTAAGCACGCAAGCAAGCGAACTTAATATAAAGGTTTTAAAAACACAATGGACTCGCAAAACACACACCGTTCGATGCACGCATCGCTAGCCGAAAGGTATCGGTATTCATTCCTGAGTTTAATTGCCGAGTTGATGCTGAATTGAAGAGGAATTGATGAAATTGTTGGAAAAGTATCGGTATTAATTGCCGAATTGATGATGACACCTCTCTACTAAACGTCTTCCACCGCAGCCGAGCCTTTTCCACGCATCGGTTCTCAGCTTTTGGGGGGTGATGTGACTATACCTTCACCAGCGCGGGATGGAAAAGGTGGGGAATGCAAACGTGGGGGGAGCACAGAACCCGTAACAGCGTGGAGAGGCCCTCATCCTGCAGTGAATTTCACCAACGGGCTCGGCGTGTATCGAATTCTCCAGATTATAAGACACATCAGAAAGTAAATTTGTGCTCCATATCAACAGAGTTATGCGTCGATGGTTACACACCTACCAGATTCTAAGACGCAAGCCCCTCACCCCCCAAAATTTTGCTTTTAAACACAGAGACTAAAAATTGCGTCTAAATAATAATATCGGAGAATCCCACTGATGTGGACGATTACATTCGTATAAAAATAACCAGTGCGAGAATAAGCCAACTTAACACGTAGGCTTTCGCAGCAAAATCTGGCTGTCGCCTGATGATGCTAGTTGTATCTTCTTGGTTCTTTCGGTAAAGTCACGTAGAAGGGAAGTAATAAAATAATAAAAATAAAACATAATAATATAATAATTCTCACGACGTTTCGGCCACAACGCAAGACAGCTGTTCTTCACCTGAGGACGGCTGCTTGCGTTGTGGCCGAAACGTCGTGAGAATTATTTTATTATGTTTTATTTTTATTATTTTATTACTTCCCTTCTACGTGACTTTACCGAAAGAACCAAAAAGATGAATCCCTGCAGTCACGAAAGCTTTAAATCGAAATGTAATATTTTATTATGTTTTATTTTTATTATTTTATTATTTCCCTTCTACGTGACTTTACCGAAAGAACCAAGAAGATGAATCCCTGCAGTCAAGAAAGCTTTAAATCGAAAGATGCTAGTTTTAATTACTGGCGAAACATCGTACTCTAATTGTAAAAGTTGTGGGTTTACTCTCCAACACACCGGTGTGCTGCACTACTAACGAATTGACGTGGTTCGTTTACGTGACACCTTACTAACTGGCTGTGTAGTGTGGTGGTGGCGGGTTGAACGACACATTTTATTTACGCCATCCAACCCCAAAAAAATCCTCTATTGGGAATAATAGTGTTACGACGCCGTGTAAATTCACCCTGCCTCGCACCCTCACCGCTGCCAATGGCATTTGCTGGCCCTTTTGTGTGTGTGTGCAATTCTGAAGCCAGAGTCTATCGTGATAATCTGCCAAGTAAGATACCGGCTGAGACTTTGGACTGAAATTGAGGTCAGCCAAATCGGTGCAAGTACCACACAAAGAGGGGCGCAAGAGGAGAGAGCTGGCAACAAAAGCAGACACGACACAGCCCTGCTGCTGTCACACAAGGCTAAAGTTACACAAGGCACCCTCCCACCCACGGACCACACATTGGTCTCCACCTCAGGCACCGCCACACCTCCACACGAGGAGCATTTGTCACGTACGCACAGTGCTCGTTTCGCCACGTGAAAAGGGAGGCAGGCAGGCATCGATTTAAAGCGATTCTTTCATTGTGTGCGTTAACAATGAATTATTTTTCATAATCAACGTTTTTGGGTTTAGATCGCGTTATTTATAAATGTGTCGTAACCCTCCACCACCCGACACGGCCAATCAGTAAAAAAATGTCACGTTGACAAAAGACAAATAGTTCACTGCTTTAGCCCACCGGTGTGTTGAAGCGTGAAACCACAACATTTACAATTTGAGTAGTACGACGTTTCGCTGGTAATTGCATCCAGCATCATCGGGCAATTCGCCAGAATTAACGCGATCTAAACCCAAAAACGTTGATTATGAATAATATTGGTCGCGAAAGCCTACGTATTAAAATGAATTATTTACTATACAGGGACTCCTCTGCTTACGAATGTTCGACTCACGAACTTTCAGACATACCGACAAACGTGCCCGCATGTCGAGTTGGATGTTCGGACCGAGAGTCGTAAGTTTAACCGCCGCGCAATAGATGGCGGTGGTGGCATCTACATCTGCAGAACGTGAAGAACCAGTGGCATCTACATCTGCAGAACGTGAAGAACCAGTGGCATCTACATCTGCAGAACGTGAAGAACCAGTAGCATCTACATCAGCAGAACGTGAAGAACCAGTGGCATCTACAGCTGCAGAACGTGAGGAACCAGTGGCATCTACATCTGCAGAACGTGAAGAACCAGTGGCATCTACATCTGCAGAACGTGAAGAACCAGTGGCATCTACATCTGCAGAACGTGAAGAACCAGTAGCATCTACATCAGCAGAACGTGAAGAACCAGTGGCATCTACAGCTGCAGAACGTGAGGAACCAGTAGCATCTACATCTGCAGAACGTGAAGAACCAGTGGCATCTACATCTGCAGAACGTGAAGAACCAGTGGCATCTACAGCTGCAGAACGTGAGGAACCTGTGGCATCTACATCTGCAGAACGTGAAGAACCAGTGGCATCTACATCTGCAGAACGTGAAGAACCAGTGGCATCTACATCTGCAGAACGTGAAGAACCAGTAGCATCTACATCAGCAGAACATGAAGAACCAGTGGCATCTACATCTGCAGAACGTGAAGAACCAGTAGCATCTACATCAGCAGAACGTGAAGAACCAGTGGCATCTACAGCTCCAGAACGTGAAGAACCAGTGACATCTACATCTGCAGAACGTGAACAACCAGTGACATCTACATCTGCAGAACGTGAGGAACCAGTGGCATCTACATCTGCAGAACGTGAAGAACCAGTGGCATCTACATCTGCAGAACGTGAAGAACCAGTAGCATCTACATCAGCAGAACATGAAGAACCAGTGGCATCTACATCTGCAGAACGTGAAGAACCAGTAGCATCTACATCAGCAGAACATGAAGAACCAGTGGCATCTACATCTGCAGAACGTGAGGAACCAGTGGCATCTACATCTGCAGAACGTGAAGAACCAGTGGCATCTACATCTGCAGAACGTGAAGAACCAGTGGCATCTACATCAGCAGAACGTGAAGAACCAGTAGCATCTACATCAGCAGAACGTGAAGAACCAGTGGCATCTACAGCTGCAGAACGTGAAGAACCAGTAGCATCTACATCAGCAGAACGTGAAGAACCAGTGGCATCTACATCTGCAGAACGTGAAGAACCAGTGGCATCTACAGCTGCAGAACGTGAAGAACCAGTGACATCTACATCTGCAGAACGTGAACAACCAGTGACATCTACATCTGCAGAACGTGAGGAACCAGTGGCATCTACATCTGCAGAACGTGAAGAACCAGTGGCATCTACATCTGCAGAACGTGAAGAATCAGTGGCATCTACAGGAGATGACACAACTTTTAAAGCCATTCCCCGTGTTTAGTGTACATGCCGTACAATACGTTTGGATTTGACAGAAGTCCAGTTACGAACAAATATACTTAGCAACGGACCTCTGGAACCTAACTCGTTCGTAGGCAGAGGAGTCCCTGTAATTGCAAATTATACACCGATGATTCCGTTTGAATGGAAGGTGAAAACGTAAGGATAATGACGGACACGCACATGCTTAAATGCCTCGGCAACTCATTGCATTACATCTCAACCATCACATTGCTCCTCTGTTGCAGTCGAGCCAAGGGCACACCCCGTGGCAGCTGTCCCTATGCGGCACATGATGTACGCAACACCGGCCTCAAAGGGGGCATCAGTCTGCAAGTAGGGGGGCGATGTTGCAATGCAGACTTGATCAAATTAAGCAATTTATCAAATGAAAATCGTGAAAAAAACGCAACAAAAAAACTCTGAAAACGAACGGAAATGGCCAGATCCCACATCGTGCCAATTCATGATAGTGCCGACGGGGATGGGGGCGAATCAGTAACACTGTGATCAAAGTTCACAAAAGTGGAACAGAGTTCAAATGCAGGCAAATCCACCAACTTTATATTCGCAAGGCAACAATAAAAGTTGAATGAGTAGTAGAAACAGAAGGGGACAACCGATATTGCATTTGCCAAGTAGATCATCGAGTCACTGTTCCGGTGAATTTACACATAAAATATCGAGTTAGTTCATCACTTTAACAGGAGTTGTGTGCTTTCAATTTCGATAAGATTAAGGTCTCGACGTTTTGGCCAACTGACCTTCACAAAACACAACACCATCCTACTAAAAAAGTTAGCACGTCATCTCGACTCAACCTCAGTGGCTCCGTGGCAGTGGGGGAGGGGGGGAAATTCGACATTCCCATTCTGTGGACGAGTGCCTCTAAAAAGTATCTCACTGCACAAACGGGGCATTCATCTGGGAGTATCAATACAAACGAACACTCAGTCTTCATCAAGAGGCGTGATCGATCCACAGCTGAAGGCCTCTCCGAGCCAGCGCTGTCTTACACCATCTAGAGATACAGCAGTCCAATCTTAATTTTAGAACTTTCGTGACTGCAGTAAATGATTATTTGGTTCTTTCGGTTAAGTCACGTCTAAAGATAAAATAATAAATTAAATTAAATAATAGCATACGACGTTTTGTGTTGCAATAAAAACGTCGTATGCTATTATTTAATTTAATTTATTATTTTATCTTTAGACGTGACTTAACCGAAAGAACCAAATAATCATACAGCAGTCCACCAAGGCACCAGCTTTTAAAATTTTCGCAGGAGCTTTTGGCTGGCCATCGAACGAAAGCGGTCAAATGTATCGCGCGCTTTCAGGTAGATGCGCTTCTGGGGCCCGTCTGGAATGCTCTTCCTTCCGATATTAGGAAGTCACCGGGGGTAGTGCACCTTTAAATCGTCTAGATTGACCAAACTAATTTCTTTAGAACTGCTGCTTGTGTTAAGTTTTGTTGTCCCCACTCCCCGCACCTCCAATTAGCACGGTTGGCTACGTACGGTGCGAAAGAAGTTCAACGTACATAGACTCACACAGAGACCCAGACTCACACAGAGACCCACAGACTCACACAGAGAACCACATACTCACACAGAGACCCACATACTCACACAGAGACCCAGACTCACAAAGAGACCCAGACTCACAGAGACCCACAGACTCACACAGAGACCCAGACTCACAAAGAGACCCCCAGACTCACAAAGAGACCCACAGACTCACAAAGAGACCCACAGACTCACAAAGAGACCCACAGACTCACAAAGACCCATAGACTCACAGAGACCCATAGACTCACAGAGACCCACAGACTCACGAAGAGATCCATGGACTCACACAGAGACCCACAGACTCACACAGAGACCCACATACTCACACAGAGACCCACAGACGCAGAGACCCATAGTTTGTCTCCCCCCCCAGCACCTCCGATTAGCACGGTTGGCTACGTACGGCGCGAAAGAAGTTCAACGTACAGTACATACATAGACACCTGTACTCGATGCGATTGAATCATCGTTCCATCTCCTCACCGCACGTCCCCTCGGCACCTGAGTTCCAATCCTTGGCCACCACTCCATTGATGAAACTGGACCATCGTCCGCCAACCAGTCCCTTCAATCTGTTCTCACACGCGTTCTCTGCCCAAACCCCACTCGCTACTTTGCTTAACACGATGTCATAACCCTATAACACTACTATGTCATATAACCCACGCGTTCGTTTGCCTGTCGGTATAATTACACGCGCGCCGTCTCTCCGTGACCATCTGAAGCTTTCGTGACTGCAAGGATTTTTTTCTGTAAAGTCACGTAGGTAAAACATAATAACAAATGAAAATAACTAAATGAAATCACGACGTTTCGGAGGTAACACAAGTCTCTCCGTCTTCGCGTGGGACCGTCACAGCCACATTTTACTGTATCAAGTGAATTTAGTGCATCGCTCATATTTTTGCAAAAACGTTCATAATCGCAGGCTACGCATTAACACCGGAGGAATCCGTAGAGCTATAAAGCTCTTTCTTCACAGATGCCCGGTAGACTTTGTCATTTGGTTCCCCTCGCATGAGTTACATCGTCGGGGATCCTCGGTCAACCAGCGGTCATTCAACGTAAGCAGTCGTGCGCATTCCACGTTACCTTGACGAGGCCCTGCATTGTCACGGCACGACCATCAGTAGTTTAAAGTCAAGGTGACCGCTTACTAAGTCGCACGCACGGCGTGTGAGACTCACGCAATCGACTACAAACTAGACATCTGTGGCGGGGGAGAAAGCATTTGATAACTCATCAGATTCCTACCAGAATAAAAACAATATTCTGAAACGTCACAGCCGGGCCCGAGGGGCTCGGCCTACCCGCGCCTACCGACGAAAGCGTCACAAACCCGGCAGAGCAACTAGGCCTAACAGGGGTCGGGGTACGAGATTGTTCCTTGCCGGCTCGGTGTGTCGTTACGGGGTGTGGTGGAGGTTGGGCCGGCTCACCCATCTGCCGTCTCTTGGTGGTCCGCTCCTCCCCGCCATCGATGAAGACGGTGAGCTTCTCGATGTCGAAGGAGGCGCCTTGGCGTTCTGAGAGCAGATCAGGATTCATGGCGGCTTCTGGACTGCTCCGCTCGGCTAGCGGACTGACACTCGCTGGGAAGCTCCAGTGCGCATGCGCGGCGATCGGTATAACTTTATTTGAGCCACGTGTGTTGGTTGGTTGGTTGGGGTGGTGGAAAGTGATGATGGAATAACTTTATTAGTGACGCAAACTCATAGTCCCCTACACAGTAGTGTATAGTGTAGTGTATAGTAGTGTATAGTAGTGTATAATAGTGTAGTGTATAATTGTGTAGTGTATAGTGTAGTGTGTAGTGTAGTAGTGTATAGTGTAGTGTATAGTGTAGTGTATAGTAGTGTATAGTGTAGTGTATAGTGTAGTGTATAGTAGTGTATAGTCTAGTAGTGTATAGTGTATAGTAGTGTATAGTGTAGTGCAGGGGTCGGGAACCTTTTTGACTGGGAGAGCCAAAAAAGCCAAATATTTTTTTTTAAATATATTGCATTGAGAGCCATATAGTCTTTTTAATTTATAATGAATGAAATGTCTTACTTTTAATGCGACTTCTGGTGCTACATGGTTTTGCTGATGGCCTTGTAGTCTGGTTCATACGTGGTGAGGTTGAGCTTCATGCAGGCGTTGAGGCCCCGTGACCCGTGGAATTTATCTTCAAAACTCATTTCTGTTTACTTAAAAATGACACAGTATTATTAAGCAATATCACAAGTATTTTAAAATCAGTTCCAAACTGATTTTTTATTTTATTTTTTTCAACTCAAAATTGTCTGGGAGCCATATTCCGTCACCAGAAGAGCCATATATGGCTCGCGAGCCATAGGTTCCCGACCGCTGGTGTAGTGTATAGTAGTTCAAGTTCATGTATTAGTTTTCCATGAATATGCTAAATTCATCTTGATATGCACATTATTTTGTCAAGGCGCTCTTCTTCCACCTCCAACCCAGCTTATATATAAGCTCCTAGCTTGGCAGTGTCTCATTCTTCACCTGAAGACGGCTGCTTGCGTTGTAGCCGAAACGTCGTGAGAATTATGTTATTATGTTTTATTTTTATTATTTTATTACTTCCCTTCTACGTGACTTTACCGAAAGAACCAAGAAGATTCATGTATTAGGTATAGCCCTGTGAACCATTCGGCTCTTGAATCGGGTGCAACCGCAACAAACAAAAACATTAACAAAAACATCTTAAAGTGAATATGTGACTGAGTGCAAACAGAAAATCCAAGAAAAGACAGCAAAATATTGCAGAAAAAGCACCGTACACAAAAATGTGCAAATATCCCAGTGGGATACAAGTCAAACAACAACAACAACCACAAGACAACTTATATTAAGGCCATCAGTCTAACTCTGTACTAAAACAAACAAACATGGCCAAACCAAAAAACTTATCGAAAATCACCAAAATAAAGCCATAAAAGCAATGAAACAGTGGTCATAGGAACTGTGACCGAATTTTCACAATAAACGACGTAGTAGTGTAATGTGTAGTGTTTAGTAGTGTAGTGCATAGTAGTGTATAGTGTCGTCTATAGTAGTGCAGTGTATAGTGTAGTGTATAGTAGTGTAGTGTATAGTGTAGTGTATAGTAGTGTAGTGTATAGTGTAGTGTATAGTAGTGTAGTGTATAGTAGTGTATAGTGTCGTGTATAGTAGTGTAGTGTATAGTGTAGTGTATAGTAGTGTAGTGTATAGTAGTGTATAGTGTCGTGTATAGGAGTGTAGTGTATAGTGTAGTGTATAGTAGTGTAGTGTATAGTAGTGTAGTGTATAGTGTCGTGTATAGTAGTGCAGTGTATAGTGTAGTGTATGTCTCGTATGCGTCTCTATGAGTCTATGTGTCTCGAATGGTTTACTATACAATCCATAGTTTGGGTGGCATGGCCACAATAGCACTACTAAAATAATAAAAATAAAATATCATAAAATAATTCTCACGACGTTTCGGCCACAACGCAAGCAGCCGTCCTCAGGTGAAGAACAGGTCTGTCGAGAAGACAGAGTCTGAATGAAACACTCCAGGCTATAGACGCTCCAAGCCTGGAGTGTGTCATTCAGACTCTGTCTTCTCGACAGACCTGTTTTTCACCTGAGGACGGCTGCTTGCGTTGTGGCCGAAACGTCGTGAGAATTATTTTATTATGTTTTATTTGTATTATTTTATTATTTCCATTCTACGTGACTTTACCGAAAGAACCAAGAAGATGAATCCCTGCAGTCACGAAAGCTTTAAAATTATTTTATTATGTTTTATTTTTATTATTTTATTATTTCCATTCAACGTGACTTTACCGAAAGAACCAAGAAGATGAATCCCTGCAGTCACGAAAGCTTTAAAATTATTTAATTATGTTTTGTTTTTATTATTTTATTATTTCCATTCTACGTGACTTTACCGAAAGAACCAAGAAGATGAATCCCTGCAGTCACGAAAGCTTTAAAATTATTTTATTATGTTTTGTTTTTATTATTTTATTATTTCCCTTCTACATGACTTTACCGAAAGAACCAAGAAGATGAATCCCTGCAGTCACGAAAGCTTTAAAATTATTTAATTATGTTTCATTTTTATTATTTTATTATTTCCATTCTACGTGACTTTACCGAAAGAACCAAGAAGATGAATCCCTGCAGTCACGAAAGCTTTAAAATTATTTAATTATGTTTCATTTTTATTATTTTATTATTTCCATTCTACGTGACTTTACCGAAAGAACCAAGAAGATGAATCCCTGCAGTCACGAAAGCTTTAAAATTATTTTATTATGTTTTATTTTTATTATTTTATTATTTCCCTTCTACGTGACTTTACCGAAAGAACCAAGAAGATGAATCCCTGCAGTCACGAAAGCTTTAAAATTATTTTATTATGTTTTATTTTTATTATTTTATTATTTCCATTTTACGTGACTTTACCGAAAGAACCAAGAAGATGAATCCCTGCAGTGACGAAAGCTTTAAAATTATTTAATTATGTTTTATTTTTATTATTTTATTATTTCCATTCTACGTGACTTTACCGAAAGAACCAAGAAGATGAATCCCTGCAGTCACGAAAGCTTTAAATCGAAATATACTGGGGGCTTGTAGATGAACTTTTTCACTGATGAAGGAGTTGATGGTTACACCAAACGGTGTCTCCCAGGAATGTCAATGTCCCAATCATCCGACTCCACACAGCAATTCCGCCTAAAGCCACCCCTTGGTCGCAATGACTCTATGGGTCCACAATGCGGAGCCACAACCCCAGGGTTTAGAGCAGTGGTTCTTAACCTTTGCTACAGCCTTGCACCCCTTTGGTTGTCAATCGTAAAAAAAATCGTAATGTTAACAAATACATAGGGTTGCATGAAACAAAGTAAGTTGTATTTCGATTTAAAGCTTTCGTGACTGCAGGGATTCATCTTTTTGGTTCTTTCGGTAAAGTCACGTAGAAGGGAAATAATAAAATAATGAAAATTAAACATAGTAACTGTATTTGTATTATTTTATTATTTCCCTTCTACGTGACTTTACCGAAAGAACCAAGAAGATGAAGAAGATGATCGTCTTGGTTCTTTCGGTAAAGTCACGTAGAAGGGAAATATAAAATAATAAAAATAAAACTTAATAAAATTCTTATTTTTATTTAATTATTTCCCTTCTACGTGACTTTACCGAAAGAACCAAGAAGATGAAAGTAAGTTGTACTTACGCGCCCGTCCTTAATTTGTATTGTCGGTAGTTCATCTTTTATACAAAAAAATATTCGCACCCCCACGGGGGCTTGCGTGATGCACTCCAGCTTCAGAAGAACCCAAAGTCGTAATTATAATATACATGCTCAAAATGTCCCCCCAAAATATATTGCTATGAAATAGATTTCTGTTTATATGATTGTGGTTAATCCCGAATCTCTGCAATTACATACAAAGAAACAAGAAAAGGTAAAAAAGAAAAAAAACAGCAATGTAACACAATACACTATTAGACATTATTGTAAAAAAAAAAGTCCATCCTATATCTTCTTGGTTCTTTCGGCAAAGTCACGTAGAAGGGAAATAATAAAATAATAAAAATAAAACATCATAAAATTATTCTCACGACGTTTCGGCCACAACGCAAGCAGCCGTCATCAGGTGAAGAACAGGTCTGTCGGAAAGACCTGTTCAGATGCTGTCTTTCTGACAGCCCTGTTCTTCACCTGAGGACGGCTGCTTGCGTTGTGGCCGAAACGTCGTGAGAATTATTATATTATTATGTTTTACTTTTATTATTTTTTTATTTCCCTTCTACGTCACTTTACCGAAAGAACCAAGAAGATGAATCCCTGCAGTCACGAAAGCTTTACATCGAAATCCATCCTATATGTTAGTGAACTTTTCAAATTGAGATATTTTTTTTCTGGGGGGAGGACCCCCAGAACCCCTGGAAGATTTGGTCCCCCCCAATGTTGACTCCATGGCTACTGGCCTTGATAGAAACCCCTGATTGCAATGGCTCGCTGGGTCCACAATAGGGCGCCACAACCCCCATTGTCTTCTTGGTTCTTTCGGTAAAGTCACGTAGAAGAGAAACAATAAAATAATAAAAAATAAAACATAATACAATAATTCTCACGACGTTTCGGCCACAACGCAAGCAGCCGTCCTCAGGTGGAGAACAGGTCTGTCGAGGCGACAGCGTCTGAATGACCTGAGGATCGCTGCTTGCGTTGTGGCCGAAACGTCGTGAGAATTATTTTATTATGTTTTACTTTTATTATTTTATTACTTCCCTTCTACGTGACTTTACCGAAAGAACCAAGAAGATGAATCCCTGCAGTCACGAAAGCTTTAAAATTATTTTATGTTTTATTTTTATTATTTTATCATTTCCCTTCTACGTGACTTTACCGAAAGAACCAAGAAGATGAATCCCTGCAGTCACAAAAGCTTTAAATCGAAATATAACCCCTTTGTGTTTAGATCAAATGAGCTCCAGACACACCAGGGGGACAGGGGAAGGAATCTCTCGTTTGCGACGAGCAACCGCAACCTGGGTCACCAAACAATGACGAAAACAAAACAAAATAAAGTAACGCAGCGACGAAGCACGTAAACATGCAGCAGAAGCCCTCTTAACGACAGTAATTAGTTCAACGAAACCGAGTCGGTCAGTGATCTTGGCCGTTCAGCGATTCAAGTTGCATGTATTAGGTATATAGCCCTGTGAGCCATTCGGCTCTTGAATCGGGTGCAACCGCAACAAACAAAAAACAAAAACATGAACAAGAAAACATCTTAAAGTGAATATGTGGCTGAGTGCAAACAGAAAATCCAAGAAAAGACAGCAAAATATTGCAGAAAAATCACCGTATACACCAACGCTGTGTGCAAAAATCCCAGTGGGATGCAAATCAAACAACCAACAACAACAACAACCACAAGACAACTTAGATTCACTGTGTATCAAAGCATATGTTTGTTCTTGGGTAGTAAGTGTTATTTTCTAATTGCGTATGCCTCAAAAGTACAGAAAATGGCTATTATTCTCCACAAACTTTGCTTTTGTGACCAGGACAGTGATATTTTTATTAAATCCTTTATATTAAGTTAGCTTGCTTGCTTGCGTGCTTGCTTGCGTGCTTGCTTGCTTGCTTACGACCGTGCAAATCTTTCAGTCGTTTTTTAACCCACTTCCCGTGATCCAATCGAGCTGACATTTTGCACACAGACTCATTGTGCGTGACAATTAATGTTCCTGACATTTTTTCCCCAAAATTTTACACTTTTTAGGGAAAACAAATTAAATATTTAATTACCAATTGCTTAATACTGGCAGACAATCATCTGACCCATAGGTGGCAGCCATCTCAAGCCAGAGGACGAGAGGACTCTAGCCGCCACGCATATAAAGGATTTATAGTGAAAAACTTTGTTTTTACGGGTTATACTTATCTATACTTTCGAGGCATAAGCAATTATAAAATAACACTTACTACCCAGGAACAAACATCGTGTTACATATCGAATTATAGAAATACACGTTAAAGGCTTAATTCGTTACGATAGCATTGCAAGTTACCCTTTTTAACCCCTCAAAAAACTTACTTTATAATATTTAAACAATAGTCATTAATACGTAAAGATACTAACAACATTATGAACACGTAATATTAAAACAAAGCAGTAATTAATATTTAGTGTGCATACAACAGCCCCATTGTTAACAGGGCGGTAAGCGAACACATTGGGCTGTACGGAGGCAATACACTACTATACACTACACTATACACTACACTATACACTACACTATACACTACACTACTATACACTACACTATACACTACACTATACACTACACTATACATTACACTATACACTACACTATATACTACACTATACACTACACTACTATACACTACACTATACACTACACTATACACTACACTATACACTACAGTATACACTACACTACTATACACTACACTATACACTACTATACACTACACTATACACTACACTATACACTACACTACTATACACTACACTATACACTACACTACTATACACTACACTATACACTACACTATACACTACACTATGCACTACACTAATATACACTACACTACCATACACTACACTATACACTATACACAACACTACTATACACTACACTACTATACACTACACTACTATACACTACACTATACACTACACTATACACTACACTACTATACACTACACTATACACTACACTACTATACACTACACTATACACAACACTACTATACACTACACTATACACAACACTACTATACACTACACTACTATACACTACACTACTATACACTAGGTATGTGGATGACACTTTTGTCATTTGACAACATGGCTTCCCAGCATTGAACCACTTCTTGGACCACATCAATTCCAGACACCCATCCATCAGATTCACCATGGAAGTAGAGAAAGACGGCAAACTACCATTCTTGGATATTCTGTTTGAGAGGAGACCTGACGTATCCTTGGGACATTCTGTCTACAGGAAAGCCACCCACACAGATTCTTACTTGAAACCTGATTCCCACCACCACCCATCTCAAAAGAATTCTCTCATCAAAACGCTATACCACAGAGCTCATGGCATTTCTGACCAACACCACCTGGCCAGTGAATTAAGACATGTACATCGGGCGCTCAGGATGAACGGATACTCTGACCGCACCATCCGCCAAGCTGTTTCTCCCACTATACAGAAACAGCCAAATGATACTCATCCACCTATTCACCCTCCCACCTATTCACCCACCCACCTATTCACCCACCCACCTATTCACCCTCACACATATTCACCCTCCAATCTATTCACCCACCCACCTATTCACCCACCCACCTATTCACCCACCCACCTATTCACCCACCCACCTATTCACCCTCCCACTTATTCACCCTCCAATCTATTCACCCACCCACCTATTCACCCACCCACCTATTCACCCACCCACCTATTCACCCACCCACCTATTCACCCTCACACATATTCACCCAAAGACAAATATCCCACCTATCGGCTTAACAGACTGTAGGGGCAAGTGCTGTTAGCGAGTAGCAGCACCTATGAAGGCCGGCACGGCACACGAGAGGGTGGGTGGCCAACACCACGCCCGACCGCCTTTGTCTCCTCAGTGGCGATGTGTACACTAGGTACTAATTTGAGGCTGAGTCTACCTAGGGGAGGAGGCCCAGGACCGGTTCATATAATCGTCACCGATGTTGACCGTGAGCGGGATTCGAACTCGGGTTTGCCGGGTTCGTAGCCCAGCGTGCTATCCGCTGCCACTTTCGCTCCCCATTCACCTATTCACCCTCCTATTCACCACCACACATTCACCACCCACATATTCACCACCCACATATTCACCCACCGATCTCTTAACCGGCCCACCTATTCATCCACCCACCTATTCACCACCCACATATTCACAAAGACAAAGATCCCCCGTATAGCCTTAACAGACTGTAGGGGCAAGTACTGTTAACGAGCACCTATGATGGCCATCTATTGACTACCCACCTATTCACCCACCCACCTATTCACCCACCCACATATCCACCCACCCACATATTTAGCCACCCACCTCTAAATCGGCCATCCTACTCACTCACCCACCCACCCACCTGTTTGCTCGCCCACACACCTATAAACCGAATCCAACCCATCCACCTATTCACCCACCCACCTATTCACCCACCTATTCACCCACCCACCTATTCACCCACCCACCCATTCACCCACCCACCCATTCACCTACCCACCTATTCACCCACCCACCTATTTACCCACCCAAATATTCACCCACCCAAATATTCACCCACCCACCTATTCACCACCCACATATGCAGCCACGCGAACTCGTAATCGGCCCGCCTATTCACTCACCCTCCCACCTGTTGACTCAACCACCCACCTGTAACCCACCCAACTCACCTGCAAACCCACCCAACCCCCCCACCTGCAAACCCACCCAACCCCCCCACCTGCAAACCCACCCAACTCCCCCACCCAACCCACCCAACCCACCCACCCAACCACCAGCAAACCCACCCGACCCACCCACCAGCAAACCCACCCGACCCACCCACCCACCAGCAAACCCACCCGACCCACCCACCTGTTGACTCACCCACCCACCAGCAAACCCACCCGACCCACCCACATGTTGACTCACCCACCCACCAGCAAACCCACCCGACCCACCCACCTGTTGACTCACCCACCCACCAGCAAACCCACCCAACCCACCCACCTGTAACCCACCTGACCCACCCACCTGCAAACCCACCCGACCCACCCACCCAACTCACCCACCCACCCACCAGCAAACCCACCCACCCAACCCACCCAACCCCCCCACCCAACCCACCCACCTGTTGACTCACCCACCCACCCACCAGCAAACCCACCCACCCAACCCACCATACCCCCCACCCGACCCACCCACCAGCAAACCCACCCAACCCACCCAACCCCCCCCCACCCAACCCACCCACCTGCAAACCCACCCAACCCACCCACCTGTTGACTCACCCACCCACCAGCAAACCCACCCAACCCACCCAACCACCCCCCACCCAACCCACCCACCTGCAAACCCACCCAACCCACCCACCTGGTGACTCACCCAATCCACCTGTAACCCACCCAACCCACCCACCTGTTGACTCAGCCACCCACCCACCTGTTGACTCACCCACCCACCAGCAAACCCACCCAACCCACCCACCTGTAACCCACCCGACCCACCCACCAGCAAACCCACCCACCCAACCCACCCACCCAACCCCCCCACCCAACCCACCCACCTGTTGACTCACCCACCCACCAGCAAACCCACCCAACCCACCCAACCCCCCCAACCCACCCACCTGTAACCCACCAACCCACCCAACCCCCCCACCCAACCCACCCAACCCACCCAACCCCCCCACCCGACCCACCCACCAGGCTAATTCATCCACCACCGCTCGGCCACTCCCGCAGACGCGCAGAGCGGCAGCTACAAAAGCCCTCGACTCGCATTCCCACCATCACACAGAAGCCAGCACCGTCAACGCAGCACCGGCTGACACACCCAGTGTAGCTGCATTGACGAGTACGGCTGACAAGGGCTGACAAGGGCTGACATAGCCCGCGCGGACGGTGCAGACCACCTGTCCCAGCAACAACTGACACAGCGAGTACAGCTGCCAACACACCGAACAATCGACACAGCCGACACAGACAGGCAGCAGAGTGAAATTGCGAAGCCACCACAGCCAGCAAAAAGACCGGCGCAGGGAACACAGCTGACACAGCAGACACAAACCAACGACAGCTACACACAGCCGGCAAAAGACCGGCGCAGGGAATAGAGCTGACACAGCAGACACAAACCAACGACAGCTACACACAGCCGGCAAAAGACCGGCGCAGGGAATAGAGCTGACACAGCAGACACAAACCAACGACAGCTACACACAGCCGGCAAAAGACCGGCGCAGGGAATAGAGCTGACACAGCAGACACAAACCAACGACAGCTACACACAGCCAGCAAAAGACCGGCGCAGGGAACACAGCTGACACAGCAGACACAAGCCAACGACAGCTACACACAGCCGGCAAAGACGAACACAGCCACCGTCACAGTCGCAAACCAGCCAACACATCACGGCTGACACAGCTGACACAGCCAGCAGGGCAAACACAGCACGGCTTCACGACGATGCTGTCCGCCCGTGATGACGACGACGACGCCGCTGCTTCTGCTCCGTCGAAGATGATCAACGGCACCGCCGGTGGCGTCAATGACAATGACGACGACGACGACGACGATGATGATCAAGACGACACCGTCGATTTGAGCGACCTCGTGGAACGAGCCGTGAGCAGCCTGGACCCGTCCTCCGTCAACTTCAGCGCCCTGGGCTCCGTCCTGCGCGCTCTCGTGAAGTCGCAGCACCTGGGATCGCACGTGGTGGTTCCCGCGGGGGCACGTGACCCCCCCGGCGGAGTTGATCCTCGTCTCGGGGAGAGACTCACTCGGGTCGAGGAGGCTCTGGGGAGGCTGCTGGAGGCTTCCGTCGGAGCGGACGCGATGCTGGACGGACGCGCGCCTCCGTCGTCGGTCGTCGAGATGTGGAAATTGACGCAGGTGACGAAGAGGACCGAGGCCAACGCGGAAGGCGTGGAGAAGGTACGGACGGGGGGGGGGTCACGGGGTCACGGTGGTGGTGCCGTGATGGTGCGTGCGCGTTCATCTTCGTTCTCGTAGCCACGTGTTGGTTACAGTCAGAGGTATCACCAGGGTCAGGGTTACCTGTGGTCATGGTTACAGACAGGGGCATCACCAGGGTCAGGGTTAGCCCGTGGTCATGGTTACAGTCAGGGGAATCACCAGGGTCAGGGTTAGCCCGTGGTCATGGTTACAGACAGGGGTATCACCAGGGTCAGGGTTAGCCCGTGGTCATGGTTACAGACAGGGGTATCACCAGGGTCAGGGTTAGCCCGTGGTCATGGTTACAGACAGGGGTATCACCAGGGTCAGGGTTACCCGTAGTCATGGTTACAGTCAGGGGTATCACCAGTGTTAGGGGCAGGGTTAGCCTGTGGTCATGGTTACAGACAGGGCTATCACCAGGGTCAGGGTTACCCGTAGTCATGGTTACAGTCAGGGGTATCACCAGTGTTAGGGGCAGGGTTAGCCTGTGGTCATGGTTACAGACAGGGCTATCACCAGGGTCAGGGTTACCTGTAGTCATGGTTACAGACAGGGGTATCACCAGGGTCAGGGTTACCTGTAGTCATGGTTACAGTCAGGGGTATCACCAGGGCTAGGGTTATCCGTGGTCATGGTTACAGGCAGGTGTATCACCAGGGTCAGGGTTACCTGTAGTCATGGTTACAGACAGGGGTATCACCAGGGTCAGGGTTAGCCTGTGGTCATGGTTACAAACAGGGGTATCACCAGGGTCAGGGTTACCTGTAGTCATGGTTACAGACAGGGGTATCACCAGGGTCAGGGTTACCCGTGGTCATGGTTACAGGCAGGTGTATCACCAGGGCTGGGGTCAGGGTTACCCGTGGTCATGGTTACAGGCAGGTGTATCACCAGGGCTGGGGTCAGGGTTACCCGTGGTCATGGTTACAGACAGGGGTATCACCAGGGCTAGGGTCAGGGTTACCTGTAGTCATGGTTACAGACAGGGGTATCACCAGGGCTAGGGTCAGGGTTATCCGTGGTCATGGTTACAGTCAAGGGTATCACCAGGGCTAGGGTCAGGGTTATCCGTGGTCATGGTTACAGGCAGGGGTATCACCAGGGTCAGGGTTATCCGTGGTCATGGTTACAGGCAGGGGTATCACCAGGGTCAGGGTTACCTGTAGTCATGGTTACAGACAGGGGTATCACCAGGGTTAGGGTTATCTGTAGTCATGGTTACAGACAGGGGTATCACCAGGGTCAGGGTTACCTGTGGTCATGGTTACAGACAGGGGTATCACCAGGACTAGGGTCAGGGTTACCTGTAGTCATGGTTACAGACAGGGGTATCACCAGGGTCAGGGTTACCTGTAGTCATGGTTACAGACAGGGGTATCACCAGGGTCAGGGTTAGCCTGTGGTCATGGTTACAGACAGGGGTATCACCAGGGTCAGGGTTACCTGTAGTCATGGTTACAGACAGGGGTATCACCAGGGTCAGGGTTACCCGTGGTCATGGTTACAGGCAGGTGTATCACCAGGGCTGGGGTCAGGGTTACCCGTGGTCATGGTTACAGGCAGGTGTATCACCAGGGCTGGGGTCAGGGTTACCCGTGGTCATGGTTACAGACAGGGGTATCACCAGGGCTAGGGTCAGGGTTACCTGTAGTCATGGTTACAGACAGGGGTATCACCAGGGCTAGATTTCAGGCTTAAAGTCAGGGTTAGTATTGGGGCTTGAGTAAGGGTCTAAGGTCAGGACCTTAGTCTTGAGTTGGACAGCGCTGGTGTCAAGGATAGATTCAGGAGAAGATTCGGGGCTAGATTTAGTCTAGACAAGTCTCAATTGTCGTCCTGGTCAACTATAATAAAGGAATAATCATTCTTTTTATGAAAACGACATCATCCATAGAGCAATTTGCGGAAGGCGTCAACACGCTTGAGATGCAGGTTAAGTTAAGGAGAGAACTCCCTGTGTACGATGAAGAAACACATTTTTAAACTAAATAATGTTTTTATTTTTACCAGGTAAGGTCCACTGAGCTGTCTTTTGGCGTCATCTGGTCCAACCCATGTGAGACTAGGCTCTAAGGAAAGCTGTCTCGGGTGTGGACCAATCAACTTCAAGGACAGTGCACATTATCAGAGTTATGTTTTTTGTTTGTATTATGACTGCAGGTATTGCGGTCTATACAAACATGACTCCTTGTAAAAAGGTGTCAGTTTTGTTGCCAGATAGAAGGGTAAAAAAACAATTATCTGTCTAGGTTTGTTTTCAGAAGCCACCTGACGATCACGAACCGTAGCTCAACCGGAGCAGTGGCTTATCACGAGGACATTTATAGCAGCCAACAACTCTGAATGCGCGTTGTCGATTCTAAATGTGGAGGGGTGGGGAAAACCGGAGGACCCGGAGAAAAATCCGTGCGACACGGGAGAAGAGAGAGAGGGAGAAAGACACACAAATTCCAAATATACAGCAGCAGGTTTCAGGGTCGGGATTGACTCCACGATCTCCTGCACACCAGGCGAGGTAGTCAGCATCTCCTAGCCACCGTGATGATGATGAGAGAGACACGCAAACTCCAAATATGCAGCAGCAGGCGTCAGCGTCGGAATCGAACCCACAACCTCCTGTACAACAGGCGAGGTAGTTAACATCTCCTAGCCACCGTGATGATGATGAGAGAGAGACACGCAAACTCCAAATATACAGCAGCAGGTTTCAGGGTCGGGATTGACTCCACGATCTCCTGTATACCAGGCGAGGTAGTTAACATCTAGCCACCGTGATGATGATGAGAAAGAAAAACGCAAACTCCACATATACAGCAGCAAGAGTCAGGGTCGGGATCGAACCCACGACCTCCTGTACAACAGGCGAGGTAGTTAACATCTCCTAGCCACCGTGATGATGATGAGAAAGAGAAACACGCAAATTCCAAATATACAGCAGCAGGCGTCAGGGTCGGGATCGAACCCACAACCTCCTGTACAACAGGCGAGGTAGTTAACATCTCCTAGCCACCGTGATGATGATGATGAGAGAGACACGCAAACTACAAATATACAGCAGGAGTCAGGGTCGGGATCGAACCCACGACCTCCTGTACACCAGGCGAGGTAGTCAACATCTCCTAGCCACCGTGATGATGATGAGAAAGAGAAACACGCAAACTCCAAATAAACCGCAGCAGGCGTCAGGGTCGGGATCGAACCCAAGACCTCCTGCACACCAGGCGAGGTAGTTAACATCTCCTAGCCACAGTGACGATGATGAGAAAGAGAAACACGCAAACTCCAAATAAACAGCAGCAGGCGTCAGGGTCGGGATCGAACCCAAGACCTCCTGCACACCAGGCGAGGTAGTTAACATCTCCTAGCCACCGTGATGATGATGAGAGAGACACGCAAACTCCAAATATACAGCAGCAAGCGTCAGGGTCGGAATTGAACCCACGACCTCCTGTACACCAGGCGAGGTAGTTAACATCTCCTAGCCACCGTGATGATGATGAGAGAGAGACACGCAAACTACAAATATACAGCAGGAGTCAGGGTCGGGATCGAACCCACGACCTCCTGTACACCAGGCGAGGTAGTCAACATCTCCTAGCCACCGTGATGATGATGAGAAATAGAAACACGCAAATTCCAAATATACAGCAGCAGGCGTCAGGGTCGGGATCGAACCCACGACCTCCTGTACACCAGGCGAGGTAGTTAACATCTCCTAGCCACAGTGACGATGATAAGAAAGAGAAACACGCCAACTCCAAATAAACAGCAGCAGGCGTCAGGGTCGGGATCGAACCCAAGACCTCCTGCACACCAGGCGAGGTAGTCAACATCCCCCAGCCACCGTGATGATCATGAGAGAGAGAGAGACACGCAAACTCCAAATATACAGCAGCAGGCGTCAGGGTCGGGATCGAACCCACAACCTCCTGCACGCCAGGCGAGGTAGTTAACATCTCCTAGCCACCGTGATGATGATGAGAGAGAGAGACACGCAAACTCCAAATATACAGCAACAGGCGTCAGGGTCGGGATCGAACCCAAGACCTCCTGTACACCAGGCGAGATAATTAACATCTCCTAGCCACCGTGCCTCCTCGTGTGAGCCACAGATAAACCTCCAGCCTGTCCCCCGTGGCTTTCAGGGTGACCAGCCATGCGGAGCAGGGCACTATCGCGCACTCAACACTGGGGCCCATCAATACACGTGGCGTCATCACAGATTAATTCATCTCCCTCCCTGAGTGCTCTCGGAGTCTGCCCTGGATGTGAGATAGTGGAAACCTCTGTTGGAACCTCGGCTTGATACGGAAAAAGTGGCCAGTGGTGTAGTAACTACATTATCAGTGGTGTAGTAACTAAATGATCAGTGGTGTAGTAAACTACATTACCAGTGGTGTAGTAACTACATTACCAGTGGTGTAGTAAACTACATTATCAGTGGTGTAGTAACTACATTATCAGTGGTGTAGTAAACTACATTATCAGTGGTAGTAACCATTATAGTGGTGTAGTAACTACATTATCAGTGGTGTAGTAAAACTACATTATCAGTGGTGTAGTAACTACATTATCAGTGGTGTAGTAAACTACATTATCAGTGGTGTAGTAACTACATTATCAGCATTCAGTGGGTAGTAACTACATTATCAGTGGTGTAGTAACTACATTATCAGTGGTGTAGTAACTACATTACAGGGTGTAGTAACTACATTATCAGTGGTGTAGTAACTACATTATCAGTGGTGTAGTAACTACATTATCAGTGGTGTAGTAACTACATTATCAGTGGTGTAGTAACTACATTATCAGTGGTGTAGTAACTAAATCAGTGGTGTAGAACTACATTATCAGTGGGTAGTAACTACATTATCAGTGGTGTAGTAACTACATTATCAGTGGTGTAGTAACTACATTATCAGTGGGTAGTAACTACATTATCAGTGGTGTAGTAACTACATTATCAGTGGTGTAGTAATACATTATCAGTGGTGTAGTAACTACATTATCAGTGGTGTAGTAACTACATTATCAGTGGTGTAGTAACTACATTATCAGTGGTGTAGTAACTACATATCAGTGGTGTAGTAACTACATTATCAGTGGTGTAGTAACTACATTATCAGTGGTGTAGTAACTACATTATCAGTGGTGTAGTAACTACATTATCAGTGGTGTAGTAACTACATTATCAGTGGTGTAGTAACTACATTATCAGTGGTGTAGAACTACATTATCAGTGGTGTAGTAACTACATTATCAGTGGTGTAGTAACTACATTATCAGTGGTGTAGTAACTACATTATCAGTGGTGTAGTAACTACTTATCAGGGTGTAGTAACTACATATCAGTGGTGTAGTAACTACATTATCAGTGGTGTAGTAACTACATTATCAGTGGTGTAGTAACTACATTATCAGTGGGCGTAGTAACTACATTATCAGTGGTGTAGTAACTACATTATCAGTGGTGTAGTAACTACATTATCAGTGGTGTAGTAACTACATTATCAGTGGTGTAGTAACTACATTATCAGTGGTGTAGTAACTACATTATCAGTGGTGTAGTAACTACATTATCAGTGGTGTAGTAACTACATTATCAGTGGTGTAGTAACTACATTATCAGTGGTGTAGTAACTACATTATCAGTGGTGTAGTAACTACATTATCAGTGGTGTAGTAACTACATTATCAGTGGTGTAGTAACTACATTATCAGTGGTGTAGTAAACATTACAGTGGGTAGACTACATTATCAGTGGCGTAGTAACTACATTATCAGTGGTGTAGTAACTACATTATCAGTGGTGTAGTAACTACATTATCAGTGGTGTAGTAACATTATCAGTGGTGTAGTAACTACATTATCAGTGGTGTAGTAACTACATTATCAGTGGTGTAGTAACTACATTATCAGTGGTGTAGTAACTACATTATCAGTGGTGTAGAACTACATTATCAGGTGTAGTAACTACTTATCAGTGGTGTAGTAACATTATCAGTGGTGTAGTAACTACATTATCAGTGGTGTAGTGACTACATTATCAGTGGTGTAGTAACTACATTATCAGTGGCGTAGTAACTACATTATCAGTGGTGTAGTAACTACATTATCAGTGGTGTAGTAACTACATTATCAGTGGTGTAGTAACTACATATCAGTGGTGTAGTAACTACATTATCAGTGGTGTAGTAACTACATTATCAGTGGTGTAGACTACATTATCAGTGGTGTAGTAACTACATTATCAGTGGTGTAGTAACTACATTATCAGTGGTGTAGTACTACATCAGTGGGTAGTAACTACATTATCAGTGGTGTAGTACTACATTATCAGTGGTGTAGTAACTACATTATCAGTGGTGTAGTAACTACATTATCAGTGGTGTAGTAACTACATTATCAGTGGTGTAGTAACTACATTATCAGTGGTGTAGTACTACATATCAGTGGTGTAGTAACTACATTATCAGTGGTGTAGTAACTACATTATCAGTGGTGTAGTAACTACATTATCAGTGGTGTAGTAACTACATTATCAGTGGTGTAGTAACTACATTATCAGTGGTGTAGTAAACTACATTATCAGTGGTGTAGTAACTACATTATCAGTGGTGTAGTAACTACATTATCAGTGGTGTAGTAACTACATTATCAGTGGTGTAGTAACTACATTATCAGTGGTGTAGTAACTACATTATCAGTGGTGTAGTAACTACATTATCAGTGGTGTAGAACTACATTATCAGTGGTGTAGTAACTACATTATCAGTGGTGTAGAACTACATTATCAGTGGTGTAGTAACTACATTATCAGTGGTGTAGACTACATTATCAGTGGTGTAGAACTACATTATCAGTGGTGTAGTAACTACATTATCAGTGGTGTAGTAACTACATTATCAGTGGTGTAGTAACTACATTATCAGTGGTGTAGTAACTACATTATCAGTGGTGTAGTAACTACATTATCAGTGGTGTAGTAACTACATTATCAGTGGTGTAGTAACTACATTATCAGTGGTGTAGTAACTACATTATCAGTGGTGTAGTAACTACATTATCAGTGGTGTGTAACTACATTATCAGTGGTGTAGTAACTACATTATCAGTGGTAGTAACTACATTATCAGTGGTGTAGTAACTACATTATCAGTGGGTAGTAACTACATTATCAGTGGCGTAGTAACTACATTATCAGTGTGTAGTAACTACATTATCAGTGGGTAGTAACTACATTATCAGTGGTGTAGTAACTACATTATCAGTGGTGTAGTAACTACATTATCAGTGGTGTAGTAACTACATTATCAGTGGTGTAGTAACTACATTATCAGTGGTGTAGTAACTACATTATCAGTGGTGTAGTAACTACATTATCAGTGGTGTAGACTACATTATCAGTGGTGTAGTAACTACATTATCAGTGGTAGTAACTACATTATCAGTGGTAGTAACTATTATCAGTGGCGTAGTAACTACATTATCAGTGGGTAGTAATACATTATCAGTGTGTAGTGACTACATTATCAGTGGTGTAGTAACTACATTATCAGTGGTGTAGTAACTACATTTCAGTGGTGTAGTAACTACATTATCAGTGGTGTAGTAACTACATTATCAGGGTGTACTACATTATCAGTGGTGTAGTAACTACATTATCAGTGGTAGTAACTACATTATCAGTGGGTAGTAACTACATTATCAGTGTGTAGTAACTACATTATCAGTGGTGTAGTAACTACATTATCAGTGGTGTAGTAACTACATTATCAGGGTAGTAACTACATTATCAGTGGTGTAGTAACTACATTATCAGTGGTGTAGTAACTACATTATCAGTGGTGTAGTAACTACATTATCAGTGGTGTAGTAACTACATTATCAGTGGTGTAGTAACTACATTATCAGGGGTAGTAACTACATTATCAGTGGTGTAGTAACTACATTATCAGTGGTGTAGTAACTACATTATCAGTGGTGTAGTAAACATTATCAGTGGTGTAGTAACTACATTATCAGTGGTGTAGTAACTACATTATCAGTGGTGTAGAAACATTATCAGTGGGTAGTAACTACATTATCAGTGGTGTAGTAACTACATTATCAGTGGTGTAGTAACTACATTATCAGTGGTGTAGTAACTACATTATCAGTGGTGTAGTAACTACATTATCAGTGGTGTAGTAACTACATTATCAGTGGGTAGTAACTACATTATCAGTGGTGTAGTAACTACATTATCAGTGGTGTAGTAACTACATTATCAGTGGTGTAGTAACTACATTATCAGTGGTGTAGTAACTACATTATCAGTGGTGTAGTAACTACATTATCAGTGGTGTAGTAACTACATTATCAGTGGTGTAGTAACTACATTATCAGTGGTGTAGTAATACATTATCAGTGGTGTAGTAACTACATTATCAGTGGTGTAGTAACTACATTATCAGTGGTGTAGTAACTACATTATCAGTGGTGTAGTAACTACATTATCAGTGGTGTAGTAACTACATTATCAGTGTAGTAACTACATTATCAGTGGTGTAGTAACTACATTATCAGTGGTGTAGTAACTACATTATCAGTGGTGTAGTAACTACATTATCAGTGGTGTAGTAACTACATTATCAGTGTAGTAACTACATTATCAGTGGTGTAGTAACTACATTATCAGTGGTATAGTAACTACATTATCAGTGGTGTAGTAACTACATTATCAGTGGTGTAGTAACTACATTATCAGTGGTGTAGTAACTACATGATCAGTGGTGTAGTAACTACATTATCAGTGGTGTAACTACATTATCAGTGGTGTAGTAACTACATTATCAGTGGTGTAGTAACTACATTATCAGTGGTGTAGTAACTACATTATCAGTGGTAGTAACTACATTATCAGTGGTGTAGTAACTACATTATCAGTGTGTAGTAACTACATTATCAGTGGTGTAGTAACTACATTATCAGGGTGTAGTAACTAATATCAGTGGTGTAGTAACTACATTATCAGTGGTGTAGTAACTACATGATCAGTGGTGTAGTAACTACATTATCAGTGGTGTAGTAACTACATTATCAGTGGTGTAGTAACTACATTGATGTAGTAACTACGTCATCACTGGCGTAGCAACTACGTCATCAGTGGTGTAGTAAATACGTCATCACTGGCGTAGCAACTACGTCATAAGTGGTGTAGTAATCTACGTCATCAGTGGCGTGACCCGTGTCCCTCCCGTCTGTGTGTGACTTCGCCTGCCAGGCAATGTCGCTGCTGGGGACCCTCGTGGAGGAGATGAAATCCGTGCGTTCGTGGCGCGATTCACTCCGCGGCGAGGTGGCGCGTCTCCTCCGGCTGCTGCAGGCGGTGAGCCGAGAACGAACTCTCCTTCGTTCAGTCGTTCGGTCGTTCGGTCATTCCTCGATTCATCCATGCCCTCGTTCCTTCAGCCATTCATGCACATTCAGTTCATTGATTCAGCTGTTGGTCACGCGGTCGTTCATTCGCACCGTGCATTCATTCACTCAGCCATTGGTTATTCACTCACTCAGCCATTGGTTATTCACTCACTCAGCCATTGGTTATTCACTCACTCAGCCATTGGTTATTCACTCACTCAGACATTGGTTTAATAACTCACTCAGCCATTGGTTATTCACTCACTCAGCCATTGGTTATTCACTCACTCAGCCATTGGTTATTCACTCACTCAGCCATTGATTATTCACTCACTCAGACATTGGTTTAATAACTCACTCAGCCATTGGTTATTCACTCACTCAGCCATTGGTTATTCACGCACTCAGCCATTGGTTATTCACTCACTCAGCCATTGATTATTCACATCACTCAGACATTGTTTAATAACTCACTCAGCCATTGGTTATTCACTCACTCAGCCATTGATTATTCACATCACTCAGCCATTGGTTATTCACTCACTCAGACATTGGTTTAATAACTCACTCAGCCATTGGTTATTCACTCACTCAGCCATTGGTTATTCACTCACTCAGACATTGGTTATTCACGTCATTCAAGCCATTGGTTATTCACTCACTCAGCCATTGGTTATTCACTCATTCAGCCATTGGTTATTCACATCACTCAGACATTGGTTTAATAACTCACTCAGCCATTGGTTATTCACTCACTCAGCCATTGGTTATTCACATCACTCAGACATTGGTTTAATAACTCACTCAGCCAATTGGTTATTCACTCACTCAGCCATTGGTTATTCACTCACTCAGACATTGGTTATTCACTCATTCAGCCATTGGTTATTCACTCACTCAGCCATGGTTATTCACTCATTCAGCATTGGTTATTCACTCACTCAGCCATTGGTTATTCACTCTCATTCAGCCATTGGTTATTCACTCACTCAGACATTGGTTTAATAACTCACTAGCCATTGGATTATTCACTCATTCAGCCATTGGTTATTCACTCACTCAGCCATTGGTTTATTCACGGTCACTCAGCCATTGGTATTCACTCACTCAGACATTGGTTATTCATCACTCAGCCATTGGTTATTCACTCACTCAGCCATTGGTTATTCACTCACTCGCCATTGGTTATTCACGTCACTCAGCCATGATTATTCACTCACTCAGGCCATTGGTTATTCACTCACTCAGCCATTGTTATTCACTCACTCAGCCATTGGTTATTCACTCACTCAGCCATTGGTTATTCACTCACTCAGACATTGGTTATTCACTCACTCAGCCATTGGTTATTCACTCACTCAGACATTGGTTATTCACTCACTCAGCCATTGGTTATTCACTCACTCAGCCATTGGTTATTCACTCACTCAGCCATTGGTTATTCACTCACTCAGACATTGGTTATTCACTCACTCAGCCATTGGTTATTCACTCACTCAGCCATTGGTTATTCACTCACTCAGCCATTGGTTATTCACTCACTCAACCATTGGTTATTCACTCACTCAACCATTGGTTATTCACTCACTCAGCCATTGGTTATTCACTCACTCAGACATTGGTTATTCACTCACTCAGCCATTGGTTATTCACTCACTCAGACATTGGTTTAATAATTCATTCAGCCATTGGTTATTCACTCACTCAGCCATTGGTTATTCACTCACTCAGCCATTGGTTATTCACTCACACAGCCATTGGTTATTCACTCACTCATACATTGGTTATTCATTCACTCAACCATTGGTTATTCACTCACTCAACCATTGGTTATTCACTCACTCACCCATTGGTTATTCACTCACTCAGACATTGGTTATTCACTCACTCAGCCATTGGTTATTCACTCACTCAGCCATTGGTTATTCACTCACTCAGACATTGGTTATTCACTCACTCAGACATTGGTTATTCACTCACTCAGCCATTGGTTATTCACTCACTCAGCCATTGGTTATTCACTCACTCAGACATTGGTTTAATAATTCATTCAGCCATTGGTTATTCACTCACTCAGCCATTGGTTATTCACTCACTCAGCCATTGGTTATTCACTCACTCAGCCATTGGTCATTCACTCACTCAGCCATTGGTTATTCACTCACTCAGCCATTGGTCATTCACTCACTCAGCCATTGGTTATTCACTCACTCAGACATTGGTTTAATATTCATTCAGCCATTGGTTATTCACTCACTCAGCCATTGGTTATTCACTCACTCAGCCATTGGTTATTCACTCATTCAGCCATTGGTTATTCACTCACTCAGCCATTGGTTATTCACTCACTCAGCCATTGGTTATTCACTCACTCAGCCATTGGTTATTCACTCATTCAGCCATTGGTTATTCACTCACTCAGCCATTGGTTATTCACTCACTCAGCCATTGGTTATTCACTCACTCAGACATTGGTTATTCACTCACTCAGACATTGGTTATTCACTCACTCAGACATTGGTTATTCATTCACTCAACCATTGGTTATTCACTCACTCAACCATTGGTTATTCACTCACTCAGCCATTGGTTATTCACTCACTCAGACATTGGTTATTCACTCACTCAGCCATTGGTTATTCACTCACTCAGACATTGGTTTAATAATTCATTCAGCCATTGGTTATTCACTCACTCAGCCATTGGTTATTCACTCACTCAGCCATTGGTTATTCACTCACACAGCCATTGGTTATTCACTCACTCATACATTGGTTATTCATTCACTCAACCATTGGTTATTCACGTCACTCAACCATTGGTTATTCACTCACTCACCCAGTGGTTATTCACTCACTCAGACATTGTTATTCACTCACTCAGCCATTGGTTATTCACTCACTCAGCCATTGGTTATTCACTCACTCGACATTGGTTATTCACTCACTCAGACATTGGTTATTCACATCACTCAGCCATTGGTTATTCACTCACCAGCCATTGGTTATTCACTCACTCAGACATTGTTAATAATTCATTCAGCCATTGGTTATTCACTCACTCAGCCATTGGTTATTCACTTCACTCCAGCCATTGTTATTCACTCACTCAGCCATTGGTCATTCACTCACTCAGCCATTGGTTATTCACTCACTCAGCCATTGGTCATTCACTCACTCAGCCATTGGTTATTCACTCACTCAGACATTGGTTTAATAATTCATTCAGCCATTGGTTATTCACTCACTCAGCCATTGGTTATTCACTCACTCAGCCATTGGTTATTCACTCACTCAGCCATTGGTTATTCACTCACTCAGACATTGGTTTAATCATTTTTTTAGCCGTTCTTTCATTCAGTCAGCCATGCAGTCGATTTGCTCATTCACATTTTAAGCGATTGATTCAATAAATCAATTCAGTCATCTTTTTATTGGAATATTCAGCCAGTAACTCCACCAATAACTCAGCGAATCAGTCATAGATTTAGTCAGTTTAACACGTAGGCTTTCGCGACCAATGTTATTCATAATCAACGATTTTTGGGTTTAGATCGCGTTTATTTATAAATGTGTCGTAACCCTCCACCACCCGACACGGCCAATCAGTAAAAATGTGTCACGTTGACAAAGACAAATAGTTCACTGCTTTAGCCCACCGGTGTGTTGAAGCAACAACATTTACAATTTGAGTACGACGTTTCGCTGGTAATTGCAATCAGCATCATCGGGCAATTCGCCATTCTAAAGCAGTGAACTATTTGTCTTTGTCAACGTGACACATTTTTTACTGATTGGCCGTGTCGGGTGGTGGAGGGTTACGACACATTTATAAATAAACGCGATCTAAACCCAAAAATCGTTGATTATGAATAGATTTAGTCATCCATTCGTCCATGCATTCATCATTTTAGCCATTTATTCATTCATGGAACACCCTCCCCCCTCATTAATAATCATGAACAGGTGACGTCACTCCACATGGAACACCCTCCCCCCTCATTAATAATCATGAACAGGTGACGTCACTCCACATGGAACACCCTCCCCCCTCATTAATAATCATGAGCAGGTGACGTCACTCCACATGGAACACCCTCCCCCCTCATTAATAATCATGAACAGGTGACGTCACTCCACATGAACACCCCCACCCTTCATTAATTGAGCAGGTGACGTCACTCCACATGGGGGGGGCGAGGCGCCTCCTCCCCCCCCCTCGGCGTCAACTGACAACCCTCACTACAAAGGCAGAACTCTCACGTCACGTGATCTCCGTCACGCTGTTGAGACATCAAAGTCAAAAGGACGTCGCGATGAACAAGGGATTACAACCTTAAATTTCGATGTAAAGCTTCTTTCGTGACTGCAGGGATTCATCTTCTTGGTTCTTTCGGTAAAGTCACGTAGAAGGGAAGTAATAAAATAATAAAAATAAAACATAATAAATTGATTAAATTTCGATTTCAATCTTTCGTGACTGCAGGGATTCATATTCTTGGTTCTTTAGGTAAAGTCATCACGTAGAAGGGAAGTAATAAAATAATAAAAATAAAACATAATAAAATACAATTCTCACGACGTTTCGGCCACAACGCAAGCAGCCGTCCTCAGGTGAAGACCAGGTCTGTCGGGGAGACAGCGTCTGAAATGTGTTTTATTTTTATGATTTCATGACTTCCCTTCTACGTGACTTTACCGAAAGAACCAAGAAGATTGTACCCTTTACATGAAACATGTCTGTGTCACCGCGCCCTTACTAATTGCACACGCACTGATGCAGTGAATACATCACGTAGCGGTCTGTGCTTTTCGCTTGCAAGTTTCAGATTTACTTGCAACACACCCGTCCTTGGACGTGCAAAAGGCGAGTTCTCTCTCTATGTAGCTCTGTGATATCTGTCTCTGCTTATATGTCTGTCTATATGTCTCTGGTTCTGTGTTTTATCTCTCTCTCAAGTTTAGCATT